TTTCGCATGGTTTCCTGAGATTCGCCGTTCATTGTGTCTGTGTGTGTTTCCCCTCCCGACTAATGGGGAAGGGCGAAACATGGAAGGGGAGCACATAGGGGGCCGCATCCAAACCCCCCTATCCCCACCAGCCATCGATTGTCTTGAATCGACGGCAGGCGGGGGGTGGAACACGGATTGCGCCACGAGAGTTCGACGAAGGTAAGACCGGATATTTCGCCGCCGAGCGGATAACTTGGCCCGCAGAAGGGCACAGTGGTACGATGCGTACTCTTTGAGGATTTGCTTCCGACCAGATCACGCAGTACAAACACATCGTGGTATACATATATATATATATATATATATATATACTAGAACCACGCGCGCGCTTCGCGCGCGCTTAGGTTCTGTCGAGTCACAGACCCAGGAACCGTTGTGAGAAGAAATTGGTGACGCGAAGCGTCGTGGGGGCGTCCTTGGACGTCTGGGGTCTCCTGGGGCCTCTTGAGGGGCCTCCTGGGGGCCTCCTGGCGGCCTCTTGGGGCGGAAGGCTCGAGCTTGCGGTTCGTGGTCCCCCTCTGGGCCCCCTCTTGGGCCCGTCTTGGGGCCCTCTTGGGCCATCTTGGGCGCCTCTTGGGCCGTCTTGGGGCCCTCTTGGGCTGTCCTTGGGCCTCCTTTGGGCCTCTTGGGGGTCTCCTGGGGCCTCTTGAGGGGCCTCCTGGGGGCCTCCTGGCGGCCTCTTGGGGCGGAAGGCTCGAGCTTGCGGTTCGTGGTCCCCCTCTGGGCCCCCTCTTGGGCCCGTCTTGGGGCCCTCTTGGGCCATCTTGGGCGCCTCTTGGGCCGTCTTGGGGCCCTCTTGGGCTGTCCTGGGGCCCTCTTGGAAGCTTCTTGGGCCGTCTTGGGGCGGTCTTGGGCGCCTCTTGGGCCGTCCTGTAACGTCGGAAAACCCAAAAGACAACTTTGTTGAAAATGTACGTTTTACGAAGGGAATGGGCCAATTTTTGCGTCTAGGGGCCCTCTTGGGACGCATGTTGGAGGCTTCTTGGGGCCTCTTGGGGGCGTCCTTGGACGTCTGGGGTCTCCTGGGGCCTCTTGAGGGGCCTCCTGGGGGCCTCCTGGCGGCCTCTTGGGGCGGAAGGCTCGAGCTTGCGGTTCGTGGTCCCCCTCTGGGCCCCCTCTTGGGCCCGTCTTGGGGCCCTCTTGGGCCATCTTGGGCGCCTCTTGGGCCGTCTTGGGGCCCTCTTGGGCTGTCCTGGGGCCCTCTGGGAAACTTCTTGGGCGGTCTTGGGGCGGTCTTGGGCGCCTCTTGGGCCGTCCTGTAACGTCGGAAAGCCCAAAAGGCGACTTTGTTAAAAATGTACGTTTTACGAAGGGAATGGGCCAATTCTTGCGTCTAGGGGCCCTCTTGGGACGCATGTTGGAGGCTTCTTGGAGCCTCTTGGGGGCGTCCTTGGACGTCTGGGGTCTCCTGGGGCCTCTTGAGGGGCCTCCTGGGGGCCTCCTGGCGGCCTCTTGGGGCGGAAGGCTCGAGCTTGCGGTTCGTGGTCCCCCTCTGGGCCCCCTCTTGGGCCCGTCTTGGGGCCCTCTTGGGCCATCTTGGGCGCCTCTTGGGCCGTCTTGGGGCCCTCTTGGGCTGTCCTGGGGCCCTCTTGGAAGCTTCTTGGGCCGTCTTGGGGCGGTCTTGGGCGCCTCTTGGGCCGTCCTGTAACGTCGGAAAGCCCAAAAGACAACTTTGTTGAAAATGTACGTTTTACGAAGGGAATGGGCCAATTTTTGCGTCTAGGGGCCCTCTTGGGACGCATGTTGGAGGCTTCTTGGGGCCTCTTGGGGGCGTCCTTGGACGTCTGGAGGCCATCTTCAGCATCTCGGAGCCCTCTTGGAGGCCTCTTGGAAGTTTCTTGGGCCGTCTTGGGCGCTTCTTGGGCCGTCTTGTCTGACTGGGGAGGCCTCCGGCAAGCCCCGACGAGCCTCCGGGCCCCCCGGGGTGCACATTTGCGGTCGGGGTCCCGGCCCCGGGCCCCCGGACCCGGTGCGCCGTTATATGTATATATAATATATATATATATATTATATATATATATATATATATATCGTTGCCCGATATATATATGACCAGAAAGCACCCGCCACCGAGCCATCTACTGCAAGCTTCTTCGGCGCGCGCGTCGCCACGTGGAGCCACGCACGCATAGCACTCGTATATGTTGGCAACGCCGATATTTGGAGGGTGAAAAATCCCCAGACAGAAGGCAACGGGGCCCTCCGCAGGGATGACCCCCCCCGACGGCACCAGGGTTCGCCGCGGCGGTGCCCTTCAGCAAGATCTGAACGCCCGCGGGCCCTTCGCACGCGGTGGGACAAAACAATGGCCAATCCAAAACACAGGCTGCGCTGCGCCTGAGCATTCCAGTATCCCCACCAATCGGGCGCGACCCCATTGGTAGAAGCCTCCCAGATGGGCTCCGAATAGATGGGGCCGGATGTTCGCGCCAGATCGCCGATGCATCGGCGATGCATTAGGGATGCATCGGCGATGCATCGGCGATACACCGGCGACGCATCGTGGATGTCGGCGAAGCATCGGCGGCGCCGACGTGGAGAAAATCGGGCTCCACGTCAAGCCGCATCGCCGATACATCGACGATACGGCGCCATCCTCCGACCCAATCTACTCCAACCCCATCTGGGAGGCCTGGAATTAGGGGGGAAGGAACGTACACTTTTCGTGCCCCTGTTGGGCCCCAGAGGGCCCCTTGAGGGCCCCGAAGTGCCCGAAAGGTGCACAGTGCAAGCTCCCCGTTCATCGCCTGCCCATGGAGCAACGCCCGACGGTCCCCACCCGAAGACCGGCGAGAGCTTCCGAAGACCAGTTAGACATATGAGCTAGAGGTAGCCATCACCGAACAACACAAGTATGGAAAGCTTGCGCCATGACCACGGAGGCTTGCCACGAGCGAGGCGAAACAACAAGTCACGCCCCGCATGCTGGGCTCCGTGCGCTCAACTTTCTGGGCAGCGTGGCCGTGCAACACAGGCCGTACACTTTTTTGTCGCAACCGCAGGCGAGGGCGCCAGCGGCGAGTCAGGTCCGAGCGGGCCGCGCAAGAGCCGAATTGCCTAACGCCGACGGGCCGGCGACCTCAGCAGCGCCTCGGGAGACAGGCCGTGCACGCGGCAACAAAAGACATGCCGCCCAATGCGTCGGAGCAATTGGCGGGAGGAGTGACGCCGCTGAGCAGAAGTCTGAGAACACCAGGAAGGCCTTCCGAAGGACAGCCGGATCACCCTCCCCCAAAAAGGGGGGCGCGTCGCCCAGGGCATCGAGGTTGAAGGGGCCTAAGGACACACAAATAAATACACACAAATAAAAGCATTCCCCATATTTCCCCAGATTTTCTGGGTGTCTGTTTTCCCCCCCACTTCCCATTTCTGGGGAATCGACGATTAATTGTGTCTGCGTGTTTCTTTTCCTCCTGAGAGGTGGCTGGCGGGAGGAGAAGCGCTCATGATCAGCCGAAGCAGCTCTTACAGCAGGGGCTCGACCACAAGAAACCTCCCGCAAGAAACCCAACCCCGAGACCCGAGGACGTCCATAGACTGTTAGTGTGGGAGCGCCACGCTTTCCATGGCAAAACCAGCAAAAACCAAGAATCCCAGGGCACCCTGGAGGCGAGCGGGGTGTTTCGAGCACATCTACAACTACACGCAGCAAAACTGCACCTACTTGCGGGGACCCGGGGTGGCAATCATTACTAGAGTGGGCGCGTCGGTCAGTCTGTGTGGGCAGACGCCGCCTCACGACCTACGATGGAAGGCGACGGTCGTGCCGACGACGTTGCGCGCCAACCGTGGAAGCGATCGCCATGTTTCACGGCGCGGCTTGGCGGCAGCCTCAAGGGAAAAGCATAACGCGAACAAGCGGTTCACCCTCGGACGGGAAATCCGGCACGAAGAAGAACTCGAAAGCGCGGGGGATCGGATCGCGAATTTGCAATTGGGCACAGGCGGGGGAGGGAAGCGGGCTGCGCGAGGTCGAGGCCCCCAGGCATACATCTGGCTTCGCTGAGCCACGGGATGTGGGATGTCGGCGGGAAGCGGCCTAGGGGGCGGGGATTCGGCGATGGGCAGCGAGGGCAGCCGATGCTTCGCGAAAAAGAGACACGTGCAGAACAGCACTTAGCGGCAGGGGCGCGGTACACGTTGGGAGCGCGAGTGGCGGCACCCGACATGCACCCCGCCCCGCTGGCTAAGTGTAGTTCTATAGGTGCTCCGTTTTGTGATGATGTCTACGGCGAAACCAGCACGTACAAAACTACACCTAGTGCCTGACTAAGTGTAGTTCTGAGCGTGCTGGATGTCTCGCGCGGGGCGAGCACGTATAGACCGGCACCTAGCGAAAGGGACGGGGTACAGGTCGGGTGCGTCGTCGCGCCCCGCCCGCAGAGTCAGGAAGGCAAGGGCCGCTGAACCCCCTGCCAGCCTCCGGGCGGAGGTGTCTGAACGTCCCAGGGCTTCCCGAAGGAATTCCAAGTGTGGCCTCCGCCCACATCGCTCCCCCTGTCAGAGCATCTCGCCTGGTCACTATGTTCCCCATTCCCGCCCGCTGCTTTGCCCTCCCCCTCCCCCGTTTTTCCTCTACCTGCCGCCCTCCGTTTCCCGGAGCGTTTCCCAATTGCCCCTGGCCCCTGCGTGGCGGCAAACGCCCGCGCCCCCCCGCAGCTGAAGGGCTCACCTTGCGCTCATCCTCCAATCCACTCGTGAGGCGCAAGCCTCGAATCCACACTGACACTGGCAAGCGAAGTCGAGGCCTCGGCAAATCCGACAAGCGCGATCGGCCCCCTCGAATGGCGGGCGAACCAATACGTAAGACAATGTCGCAAAAGTAAGTTTGGAATTTGGGGATCCGCGCAAGAAGCTAATCCACTCGCCCAAAGTGTAGTTATGTGCCTGCTTGTGAGCCCCCACTGTAAGGACAGAGCCGCATCCCCCTCCCTCCCCAAGGAGGGGGTGCGCGTCGCCCTTCTCGGCGACGCAGCCCAGCGCCTCCGCGGCCTCCCACCGCACCTCCCAGGACTCATCGGCGAGCCGGCGGCTCAGGGAGTCTATCACCTCGCCACGGGGTGGGAGCTCCGCGGGAAGAGACAAGCGCGTTCCACGACTCGCAGATTCGTTGCTCGCAAGTGGCCTGGATCCATTGCGTCGAGGCAAACAGGGTCCACTGCATCGAGCAACATGTGTTTTTCTGTGACGTTCGCGAGTAGGCACTCTGCGAGCAGTGGAGCGCGCTCGGTGAGGGAAGGACAGGAGGGGCAGGAGGAGAGGGGGAAGGAGGACGAGGAGGAGGAGGAGGAGGAGGAGGAGCGGGAGGAGGGGGAGGAGGGGGAGGAGGGGGAGGAGGAGGAGAAGGAGGAGGAGGAGGAGGAGGAGGAGGAGGACGGCAGAGGGACAGGAGGAGAAAGATGCCGTGCGTCCAGAGGGCACGTGAGCAAAACGCACACTGCGCAGGCTAAGCGCCCGCACGCGTGCGGGGGGGCAGCACGAGCCCGCTGTCTCGAGGAGAGGCAGGGCGGAGGAAGGCGAGGAACAAGGGGAAAGACGAGGGGAAACACGGAGGCAGAAGGCGCACGGAACGCGCGACGGGGGCTCCGCAGTGGGCGGTGGGCAGCATGTGGACGCACCCATTGGGCCTTGAGGCGGTGCCCTCCGTGGGGCCACGAAGCGTGCGAGAAGTGGGCATGCGGATGACAGAGGCAAGGATGGCAGGACGGCAGAGCTGGTTGTTCGATGGATGGGAACCGCGCGCGTATACACTAAGGTATCTGGGCCCTCTCCCGTGGAGCTTCGAAGGAACACCGGCAGGACAACGTTTAGTGTATGATTACATGGCCGCTTCTCCAGGCGACAAGTGTTGAACAAAATACATACACTGTGCTCGGCCCGCCGATTGCCATTCAGTGGTGGACAAACATGATTCACATAGTACACTGGACATATCCCCGGCCCCAAGTGGAGACGGTTGTCTCGAAATCGTTCACTCTCCAGCGCGCAGAGCGAAGTCCATCGACAACGCGTGCACGCGCGGCGGTGGTGGCCTTGGCGTCACCCACCACCGCCAGGCTGGCCAGGGTCCTCACCGCTGCGCGCCGCACCTTGGCGTCGGCCTCCTCCTGGCGCGGAGGGGCCCGGGCACTGCGCTCGCACCTCCGCCCACGCCCCTTCCCGACAGGGGTGAGAAGGTGGGGATAGAGAACGGTTCTCTCGTTTCCGTACTCCTCCTCCTCCTCTCCTCCTCCTCCTCGTCCTCCTCCTCCTCCTCCTCCTCCTCCTCCTCTCCTCCTCCTCCTCCTCCTCTCCTCCTCCTCCTCCTCCTCCTCCTCCTCCTCCTCCTCCTCCTCCTCCTCCTCCTCCTCCTCCTCCTCCTCCTCATCGGTGTCATCATGATCATCCTTTTTCCCCTGCTGGGCCCAGGAGGCGACACCAACTCACCAGGCCGTTCTGCATAGTTCCATCATTCCGCGTTATATATGTAGTGTATGCCAGTAGTTCCTTTCACTTCCTCCCACTGGCCTTGGGGGCTGGGGAGGGGGGGGCAAACGAGACTGCCAGGCTGCCTGAAGAAGGACCGACACCAGCCAGGCCCCACCCCGCCCTGGGACCGGGCCATGGATCGTGGGGGCCCGTGGAGCGACCTCCAGTGAGGTTCGCGCCGGCGCGGTCAGGGCGCCAGCCATTCCTAACCACTCCTAGACGGCACCAGCGCGAATCGAGGCGTGACCGGCCCCCCCCCTCCCCCCCTATTCACGCAAGTGATCGCCAGGGGATGGCTTTATTCTGCTTCGAACGGTCCCCACCGAAACGTTCGGCGGTTGTTCCCGACGGCGCGCGCTCATATTGGAAAGAAGCGCGCGGGGCCCAGTGGTTTTGACCAGCGCGGCGGCCAGGCCAGGTCATTATTATCTCATCTGATCGGTCGCTGCTATGACGCCAGTGGTGCGTGTTACGTTCGATATGTCATCGGATCAGCGTGAATCCTGCGTTCGACAGGGCATCATTAATATCTGCCGCCGCTGTATCTGAAAGTTGTCAACCATGTTACATTCCATCATGTTCTTGTCTGTTGTACTGGATTGAGATATTGTTGAGTTGCCGACGGGGCGGCGTGAGGTCGTGACGCGTGTCACATGGGACACGTCGCCCAATCGGCCGTTGCGGCGTCTGCTTGTTCGTGTGATCGACCGGGCCTTGGCGCGCACTTCGCGTATGATCGGGGTATGGTACGGTCGGCGATGTTACGATGTTCGCTTGATGAGACGCCGTGATCGCGTAGATGCTGTATACAATTGCGTTACATTCCGTTTGGGCGGATTCTGCCCCAGCGAAAAACATGACGGCAGGTGTTGTGTTGTCATGGACGGGACGGCGTGACATCGTGACGCATGCCACGTTTGATATGTCGTCTAATCAGACGCTGTTGCTGCTGTTAGTTTCTGTGGCCATCGTGTGTTCGGCGCGCATGTCGCGTATGATACGAGGGCAAAACTCGGCCTCTGCTGAATTATAATGTGTCATGTTACGTTCGGCTCCGTTCAATTAAGCATATGAACAGAGGGTTTGTTTCGTTGCGTTCTCGACGGGGCGGTGTGACGTCGCGGCGCCTGTCACGCTTGATATGTCGCCGACGGGTCGTTAGTGCGGTTCTTTTCGTCCTGTTGCTGGGCTTACGTCGGCGGGGACGCTGCGTTTGGCAGGACGCCATTCATCGGTCGCTGCTGTATTCAGCACTGCCAAACCATGTGTTTTATTCCTGCATGATCTAGTATGTCATACTGTGTTGAGCCATGATGTGTTCTCGGCGGGCGGGCGGGACTCGTAACGCCTGTCACGTTAGCGACGTCGTGCAACTGTGGCGCTCCTGTGGCGTCATGTTAGCTACGTTAGCTACGTGTACATTTGTTCGTTCCTGTGGCGAGGCTGGCCCCAGCCCGCACGACGCGTTTGTTTGCACTGCGGTACGGCCAATGATTGTAGGATGTCCCAATGCAGTGGTAAATTGTTGTTTAGACAATCAACGGTGTCATGATCAGCTGCGTCATGGCACGAATTGTCATGTGATGCTGTGATCGTATGCGCTGATACCGAATGTCATGATGTTTATGTTGTGCGCTGCTGCGCGTGTTATGGTTAGGCCTGCACAATGATGGCGTACGTATCGAATGTGTTATCGAAGACGGTGGTAAACAAGAAGTGGTAGCAGCTGTAGAACAATAGTGGCATGGTGTGCGGGTTACGTTGTCCCCTGCCCATGATGGTATGGTTTTCTTGTTCTGCCAGAAGCCGACGATGTAATAGCACATTCGCTTCCGCTTTGAAGCATTAATGCAAGACATAGGCGATATGAGAATTGGAACTGCCTTACGGCACGCAGTGGTGATCCGTTACGTCGTGTAAGAATGTTTGACGGTATGTTATATACGATCGTTCGGTATAGTGTTGTTTTACGTTATGGATGTTCAAGTACGGGGTGGTATTGCTATAGTATTACATGGTTTCTGGCGCACTGCCATGGCACGGAAAAAACCTGCAATGGCATGGCATGTTATGTGGCGTTGTGTTGACTTGTGGCACGATGTGTCATGGTATGGATGGGACGTTATGTCATATAACGATGTGGTATGGTACGTTACGTCAAGACGGATGGAGTTATGCTGTGTCGCGGATACCCCGGCATAGCATACGTTGTGATGCTATGTGTGTGATGGTATGGTATGCGCTGCTATGTGATGTTGTGATGCGTGGCTCTCTGTCTTGTCCAGCCATGTTCACGAATTGTGCTCTGGCAAATCAAATTATGTGTGGCCCTGTGATGATAGTTATGTTCGACGAACGCGGTTCACCGGCTTTGGCCTGCAACGCTTTTATATATCTATATATATATATATACAGAAAAGGTCGGAAAACCAGAGCCTCCCCGTCTGGGAAAATCCTAGCAAAGGGGGTCAGAACCAGGGGACCCCCCACCCCCCAACCTACCCCCCAAATCTCTCCCCTCCAGAGAACCAAAGAACCAGAAGGGTCTGGACCTCCCCGGGGACACACACACACACGGGAAATGATATGATGTACTCGGGGAAACTGAATACGCCCCCCTCCCCCCCCGACCCGTGGCAACGACAACGACGACGACGTTTACGACGACGCCGACGACGGCGACAACGTCAACGGTGGCGGCGCACCTGTCGCCAGCGCCCGCGTCAGGCGCAGGCTCTGATAGAATGCTACGAAAGCTAGATCCACCCATCTCAGAATCATCAGCTCTCAATGAATCCTGCAACCAAGGCTGGTTACATCTTGCATTGACAAAGGGATCGCTCAAACTCAAGTGGAATCCTACAAAGGTTCGACTCAGCTTTCATAGAATCCCACCAGGACTGGATCCAAGATCCAACTCTCTTGGATTCAGATGTAATGGAGTCTTACTAAGGCGCACGTTTGATCTAGCATTCATACCATCCTATACACGAATGGGCCCAGCTCTAATAGAATCCTACTGGGGTTCGATCCAGCTCTAACAGAATCCTGCGTTGCGTGAGTCCAGCTCTAGTAGAATATTCGCTCGGGGCCGATCCAGCTCTCATGATGAAAATCCCACTAGGGCTCGAGCCACCCACCTCTCACAAAATTCTACGAGGGCTGAATCCAACTCTCATCGAATCCTATCAGGGCTCGATCCAGCCTGATTAACATTATTGTAATGGTCGATAAAACTCTGCCAAAATCCGACATAAGGCTCGACCCACCTATGATGGAATCCTATTGGGGCTCATTCCAGCTTCAACAGGATGTACTCAGTCTACTCAGTCTTGGTCTACTGAAGGTCGATCCAGTTCTACTGGCATCATACTACGATTGGGTCCAGCTCTTAACACATCATGGATGGGCCCAGATCTGGTGGAAGTCGACTAAAAGCTCGACCCAGCATTAATTGAACATCGGTACAACTTTGGATCCAACTGTACTAGGACCCTACTAGGGCTCGATCCATGAATCCTACGAGGGCTACATTGAGCTCTAACAAGCTCCTGTCAGGGCTCGATCCGGCTTTAACCGGATCCCACTAGGGATCGATCCAGCTTCAAAGCGCATCCCACTAGAGATCGACCGTTATCGCAGGCGTCGTCGTGGGCGTCGTCGTCTTCGTCGTGTTGGTCGTGTTCGTCGTCTTCGTCGTGTTCGTCGTCGGCGACATCGGCGTCGTCGGCGTCGTCGGCGTAGTCGGCATCGGCGTCGACGTCGGCGTCGTCGTCGTTCGTCGTCGTCATCGGCGTCGGCGTCGACGTCGTCGTCGTCGTCGTCATCGTCCGCGTCGTCGTCGTCGTACGCGTCCGGCCCGAACCATTTCCCCGAGGGGGGATGACTCCCCCCCCCTCTGACAGCAGCGGCCGAAAGCACTCTTTCTCTTGTCGGGATCGGCCAAGAGGGGGGTGTCCAAGAGGGGGGGGGTGCAAATCATGACCGGCGGCATGTGCGCGGCCCAGTGGGGGGGCCAGGGACGTAATGAAATAAGAAGAGGCGCCATGAAATCTGGGGAAACAGCATGGCCCCCGCCATGATATCCACCCCCCCCCTAGTCATCACCCCCCTCTTTTCCGCCCCCGATCTTGCTCTGTCCTACTCACACGGGCGGGCGTCTCCGGGATTCTGGGTGAACGTCGGGGACCTGGCGGCGGGCGGGTCGGGCAGGGCAGGGCAGGAGCCTCGGGGGCTCTGTCAGTGGACCTGGGAACCTGGCGGTCGAGGTGCGCGTGCAGGGCGGGCAGCGAGGGAGGTCTGTTCCTTGCCGTCGCTCGGACGTCCATTTCCCGTGCATTTTTCGGTTTCGTGGGTGTTTTTTTCTTGCTCGATGGTCCAGGATGGTCTTCAAGGGTCCTCGCCGAGAAAAAAATACACATGTCCGAGCGATGGCAGGGTTCTAGAAATCTAACGGCCCCGACCTGTAGGATGGGAAAGAACTGCACAAAGAGGCAGGCAGGGCGGAGACGAGAAGAGCAAGACGAGGCCAAGACAGGAACCAAAATGGACAGGGATGAATCGGGCATCTCTGAGATCCGGCAGTTCTGGAGGATGTATCGGGCGCCGCGGCTGTTCCAGAGCACTCCAGAAGGCTCTGAGAGCCTTCTGGAGCACTCTAGAAAGATTTATCCCTGCCCTTGCCCTGCCCGAAGAGACCTGGGAGGATAGAGGAACAGCAGACGGTATGAACAGCAACTTTCGGAGGCCCCACCCTCCTGGCGCGCAGCGCGCGCCAGCGGCGTCGCTGGAGGCGTCGCCACCTCCAGCGCAGCTCAAACACATCCGGGCGGACCTCCGAAGCCTGATGCTCACATGTTTCGCTTCCTCTGAGAGCCCATGTTGTCCTTCGCGATAACGCCCGTGACTGGCCCCCCCCCCCCGCCCCCCTGGTCACGTCACGATTGGCGCCGGCGCCGCCTGGGAACTAACCAATATGATGCATTGCCGGACTGCGCCGGCGCGAATCGTGAAGTGACCGGCCCCCTCCCCCCCCAGTCACGCCCGCTATCGCCAGGGAGTAAAAAAACGGTCTCTCGGGAGGGGGGAGGCAGTGAGCGAATGAGAAGGGCGGGGGGGGGCGGAAACGGTGGGAAGGCGAAGGTGAGGAGATGCCGCTGGCCCGGCTCAGCTGCCGCGCAGCTCCAGCCTCGCTTCCGCCTGTTCGCGGTTCTTGCGCCTGAGGTTCTCCAGCCACGTGGCCTCGCGGACCGCCCTCATAGAGGCCTCCTAGATGGGGCCCGAATAACTGGGGTCGGAGAATCGCGCCGCGTCGGCGAGATATCGCGGATACATCGCCGCTGCATCAGCGATGCATCGGCGATGCCTCGGCGATGCCTCGGCGATGCCTCGGCGCCGCCAGCGTGGAGAAAATCGGGCTCCACGTCGAGCAGCATCGGCCATGCATCGGCGGTGCATCGGCGAGGCATCGGCGATGCATCGGCGATCCTCCTGGGGAGACCCGAAGGTACCGACACCGCTACTCCCCGGACCTCTCCCGGGGTGCGTTCTGACCAGGATTTCGAGGCGAATCCAGCGGTGGCGACGAGGGCCTCCGAGGAGGCCGAACAAAAAGGAAAACGGGCGGAGGGTAGCGGCATTCCGACCCCATCTGCTGGCGGCGCGCACAAGGGGGTAGGGGGAGGGGGGAAGGCTTCTTAGAAGGAGGCTGCTTCTTAGAAGGCGCGGGCCTTACATCTACAGAGAAGGCCCGCGCCTACCGAGAAGCAGGGTTGCTTCTAAGAAGCCTTCCCCCCTGCCCCTACCCCCTTGTGCGCGCGGCCGAGTCTGCTCGGACCCCGTCTGGGAGGCCCAGGCCTCAGCGCCTCCGCTGCGCCCCCTGCGGCCAGCACCGCCTCCAGCGCCTCGTCCGGGTCCAGAGGCTGCTCGGCGGCGCGCAGGGAGCCGGCGAGGCAACCAGGGGGGGGGGAGAACCAACTGCTGGCAGATGCGATGGGTGTGATGATCAGGATACTGGTAATTGAAGGGGCCCTGGGACACACAAATAAATACACAAAAAGAAAAGGATCCCCCATATTTTCCTATATTTTCTGGGTTTTTGTCTTCCCCCCCACCTCCCATATTTTCCCATATTTTCCTTGGAATCGACGATTAATTGCGTCTGTGTTTTATCCCCTCCTGAGTAATGCACGACCACCCTTCGGGTGAGAAGGAGGTTGGGGGGTGCGGGGGAAAGAGCCAGCTGCTGGCAAATGCGATGGGTGTGATCATCAGCGTGGTGCATCATCAAGTCAGCGACGACGCGTGACGACGACCTTGCGCTGGCAAATGCAATGGGTGCGGTGATGGCGATGCTGGTGGCGCGCCCTCGAATTAGCGACGCCGCGTGTTGACGACGTTGCGCTGCGATGTCCTGTCACGGGTATCAACCTTACAGGATCGATCACACTCGATCGATCTCACAATAGATATGACGATCAATCACACAGCCAGCTCTCACTATTGATCTCACTCTAGATCACTCGAGGTATCACTATAGATCTCGCTTTCGATCTCGCTATCGATCTCACCATCGATGTCACTAACGATCTCACTGTCGATTCCTCGATCGATCTCACTATCTATGTCGAGATCGATACCACAACCAATGTCACAATCAACCGCACGGTCGATCTAAATGTTGATCTCACTATCCATCCCATTCTTGCGATCGATGGCACTATCGATTTCACTATCGATACCAAGGCGGGACACCCCCGGCTACCGCCCGCTCACCGCCGACGGAACACCGACGGGACACCAACAGGGACACCAACGGGACACCACAGGACACCACAGCGGGACAACCCGGTCCACCGAGCGCCTACCGGGTGCGGAGGGACGGTCCACTGAATCCGAATCGCCCTAGCGACGGTGGGGCCATTCCTCTCGCGCGCCCACGCTGCGTCTCCTCGCCCGCACGCACGACACGAGCACGAAACCGACACCGATGCCCCCCGGTGGGGGGCTCTCCGTTTCACTGCGACCTCACCCCCCAACCTCCGATGCAACGACATCAAATGCGTCTATAGACGCCTGTGGCTGGAGAGTGAGAACGGCATTTGGCATAGGCCCCAGGTATAAGGCTTCTGGAAGCAGGTAGACTTTGCCCTCCAAGGTCGATGCATCCCCCCTGAGACTATGCCCCCCTGACGTTGCCTCTGACCCCGCCCGCGCGCCGCCAGTCTGTGGAGGGGGCGGCTGGTAGCCCGCGGAGGCCACGAGAGCGTTGTACTCGGCCAGCGGAAGTGTCACCTTGCCTGGATCGCCAGAAGAAGAAAGAGCGCCACGAGCACGAACCTTCGGAGGTCCGCGCAGATGTCCTGTCGTGCCAGCTCTCAGATCTATTCTCATCCGAGTTGACCCTCATCTTGGCTTCGCCGATACTGGGGCGGAGGAAGCAGGTAAATGTAAGTCCCGAGAGAAGAGACCTGGGAGGATAGAGGAACAAAGAACAGTATGAACATGAACTTCCAAAGGTCTGCGCGGATTTTTTGGATCTGCGCTGAACTCACCCACCCTGGCGCGCGGAGCGCGCCAGGGGCGGCGCCGCCAGAGGCGCCGCCAGGGGGATCCAGCGCAGATCCAAGATACCCACCCAGAGCTCCGAAAGGTTGTCTATGCAGCTGTTCGGAGCTCTGAAGCGTGAGGCTCGGGTTCGGGGGGCTCGGGCTGGCCCCACGGGGCCGTCAGGAAAATGGCCAGGCCCAGTCTGCAAGTTGGCGCGAGTTCCCGTTGCAAGCATCCCACGAGAACTGGACCGTCAGAACTCGGGACGGGCCCGTCAGAGGGCGCCGGCAAGCCCGAGCTCCGCGGGAACTCGAGGTCGCGACGCGGCCCCGAGAGGGGCGCCCCTGGCGCCGCCACTGGGCCTTTGTGCAGCTCCGAGCCAGAAGCTCCGCGCGGACCCCAGGGAAACCCGTGCCCGTGGCAGCCGTTCGCCCTTCGGATCGTGGGAGAGGCCGTGGCAGTGGTTGAAGGCGTGGCTCCACACGCGGGCGGTGCCCTCCCAGTCCGGCCCGTACAGCCGGCCCAGCAGCGCCAGCGGCTCCGCGGGCCCCGGCACCGGGGCACCGTGGAAGTCGAGCTCGCGCAGGGGGAAGACCTCCTCCGCCGAGGGGAAGTCGCGCGACGCCAGCATCGGCGCCTCCCGGAGGAAGACGTCCAGCTCCACGTCGGTGCCGCGGAGGCCCACGTGCGCCACGCGGGTGGTCTGCCAGTGGCCGCCGTAGCGGAAGGTCAGGCGGGGGTGCCCCTCCACGGCCGCCTGGGCCTCGGCCGGATTTCCACCAGGCCACCCCCAACCAAAGCCGAGGGCGCCGTTGGGCCTGCCGATCTCTCCAGTGGGGGGACATGGCAGAGGCACCGTGCAGTCCGCACACCCCGGCCCCTCAACCGAGACATGTGGGGGGCCTGGGACCGTCGGCTTGGGTGGGGCTGGATCTGGTGAGCAGTGACTGGCAGGGTGAGTCAGCACCGCAGCAAGAAGCCCGATCGAATCGCAAGGCGCGTCGGGCCGGGCCGCACAGGCACGGAGCCGGAATCGGGCCGCACCGCCCGCGCCGGGATGCCCGACGGCGCCCGAGGCGAGCAGCGGAGTCGCACCAGATCGCCGGTGCGTCGGGCTCGATGCGGATGGACTCTGGCCAGAGTTGCCACCGAATCGGATCGATCGAATAGAACTGGGCCCTCTCGCAACCTTCACGCTCGAATCGAATCCGATGGGGCTGGTCGGGATCGACATCGGATCGGAGCGACTGGTGATGAACCAGGCCCTGCCTTCGGCGCGTCGCTCTCCGCACACTCGAGGTCCACGTCGTCGTCGTGCGGGACGAAGCCGCCGTGCCGCAGGGCGCCCAGCAGCGTGCCGCCTGTGACCTTGGCGGCAGCGGTAGGAGCGGTCCGGCTCGGGGGGGGGGATAGCGACCTGGAATCGGCGATGCGTCGCCGATAGACCAGCGGTGGCCCCACGATGGCGAATCCGCACGTTCCTGGGTCATGGGCAGGGTGGGCTATCGAGCCCCCACCAGCGATCCATGGGCGATTCGGGGTCGATGCATCCCCCCCTGAGCCCATCACCCCCTACAGTTGCCCCCTTGTTTTCGGGTTACATCTCGGCGCTCTCTGGCGGCCGTTCGGGACAATTCGGGCATCCTTGGAGCCCCCATCGGTGAGGCGCAGCTGCTGGAAGGCATCCCGAGGCTGGAAAACCGCCGAGAGCTAACGAAAACGCCCGAAAACCTCAAGCCTCGAATCTTCTTCCACCCCTGAGCCTTTTAAGTCGGCGGCGCGCCCGTGGGTAAGTGAGAATAGGCGAATCCTCTCAGAAGACTCGGAAGGCCTCCGACGGTACCTCCCGAGAAGTGCTCGGCCACCTCCGAAGACCCAGAACACTTCTCTGAAGGCGCGAGGGCTTCCGAGATGCCCCGCCGCCATCTGAGAAGGCCTCTTCCTTCTCGTTCCCCCCCCCCCCTATCACTGGCTCCTCCTCCTCCTCCTCCTCCTCCTCCTCCTCCTCCTCCTCCTCCTCTCCTCCTCCTCCTCCTCCTCCTCCTCCTCCTCCTCCTCCTCCTCCTCCTCCTCCTCCTCCTCCTCCTCCTCCTCCTCCTCTCCTCCTCCCCCTCCTCCTCCTCCTCCCCCTCCACAATTACTCAATATGAATACTACTCTCCCTCTTCCCCTGATGACGGTTTGAAAGGCCGACCCCCCCCCCCGCGTACTGTTTTTTACACACAGGTTTCCCTGGAGTTGGGTTTTCGCCTGCATGTTTCCCAAAATGCTGCTCTCGCTGAGGCGCCGGCCTCACTTTCGGGCCCCGCTCGTTCCGCATCGTGCTCCCGCTGCAGCGCTGGCCTCATTACCGTGCTTCCGCTCGTTCCGAATCGTGCTCCCGCTGCAGCGCTGGCCTCATTTCCGCGCTTCCGCTCGTTTCGACTCGTGCTCCCGCTGCAGCGCTGGCGTCATTTCCCGTGCCATGTCACGGCGTGCAATGCAATGCTAGGTTGATACTACACTTTGCGGTGCTCGTCTACGCCATGCCATGCCGTCCGTGCTCTACAATGCATCGCGTACCCTTTCGGGATCATTGCCCTGCTCGACATCCGACTGAGCGAGTAGAGAGGGGATCTGCGCCATGGTAAAGGATGGGAGGGAGGGGTAGGATGTCAGATATGACGCGAGCGCACCTAGCACCTAGCTTGTCCTCCCCCCCCTCCTCCTCCTCCTCCCCCTCCTCCTCCCCCTCCTCCTCCTCATGCTCTTCCTCCTCCTCCTCCTCCTCCTCCTCCTCCTCCTCCTCCTCCTCCTCCTCCTCCTCCTCCTCCTCCTCCTCCTCCTCCTCCTCCTCCTCCTCCTCCCCCCTCCCGGACCCAGCAGGCCTTTCCCCCCTCCCGGACCCAGCAGGGCACGCCCGCCCGCCCGAGGCGGTCGACCGTGGCCCGCAGCAGCGCGAGGAGCGCCGCCTGCCGGGGCTGCAGGCTGGCCAGGTCGAGCCATCGCGCGACCTCGGCGCCGCCCTCGGCCGCCATGTGTTGCGGCAGGCTCGCGCGTCGTGAACAAAGATAGCCCTTCCCAGGGACCAGTTTTTCCCCAATCAGTGCTTGCATTGAAGGAGTCCTAGCGGGAGTTGAAAGATTTGGCGAAAATTTCCCGCCAATTTTGGTAGCAGGCTGGGTTCCTGGGTTCCCGGTTTCGATTTCCTGGGTGGTTTCCCGGTCATTGGTTCCAGGCTGATTTCGGTGGGTTCTGGATTCCCGGCTCCAGGGCTCCCGGTCGATCTCCTCAGCGAAAACCATCCACTGTTTGGGGTCTTTCTCTGGTGTGAGCACTTCTTCGGTTGGCCCCCGAGGCCCAGCGAGGACTCCCCGAGGCCGAACACAGCCAACAAGCTTTGCGTCGGGATTTGTTGTAGGGGAACGAAGAATAACGTAGACATAACAACTCGGAGGTCCGCGCGGATTTCTCGGATCCGCGCTGAACCTCCCTGGCGACGCCTCCGGCGCCGCCCCTGGCGCGCTCCGCGCGCCAGGGAGGAGGGTCCAGCGCCGATCCGAGAAATCCGCGCGGACATCCGAGTTGTTTCTGTCATTCTTCGTCCCCTTAGACAAAAATCTCGACGCAACCGAAGAAGTACTCAGGAGTAAAGAAAAACTGGTCCCTGGGAAGGGGTCCGGACCTCTGGGGGTCCACGTCATGACAACAATCACGACGTCGGGGGTCGGGCTTCCGCACTGGTCTCTGACACCGCATGGGCCGATTCGGGGACACTGGCATCCGGTCGGGCCTGTCCTCCTACCGACGGATTTTGGAAGAAAAAAGTTGCTTAAAAAATCAAACATCGCCAACAAAAGAAAACACACGACAAATCGTCCCCCTACTATTTTTAGACTATGTTTGAATACTCCTCCTGCAGAGGGACACGCCCGACTGAACACCAGCGGCGCTCCGCCTGGAGCGCCCGCGGCGGGATCGCTGCCGCGTCGGCACGACGCGAGCCGGCCGCACGCGTCCGATCCACGGTGGCCTCCGGGGAGCGACTCGGGAACCTGCTTCGCGCGGTGCTGCACTAACCAGCCTCGAACTTATCCCTATCCCTGAGATTGACACGCCAAAAGGCGATGACAATCTCAGGGATGCGCCCTCAGAAACTGAGGGAATCCCTGAGATCGCCATCGTGACGAGGCGATGCCCAACATAGGGATAGGGATAGGTTCCAGGCTGGTAATGCACGGCCGTTTTGCGCGGCGCAGCGCGGCTTTCTGTTGCATCCTCGGGGGACGTCGTCTGTCCCGTCGCGGCCCTATCCGAGTCGAATCCGTGTCGAATCCATGCCGGCCTCGTGGATCCGTGTCGAATCCGTATCGAATCCGCGTCGAATACACGCCAAACCCGCGTCGAGGCCGCATCGAGCCCGCGCCGGGCACAAGAAAAGACCCCACTTTGGGAGACAGGCGAGGTCCCCCGAACATGCAACGTAACGCGGCTGTGGTGTCCGTGTGATAGGGCTGTGGTTTCCGAGGAGCTCTTGTGGATCAGGCGCGTAGCATGCGCCAGCCCTTCGCCGCGGCGCGCGGGCTGCAGGCGCACTGGAGGGGGCGGATGAAGGAGGACGACTGTAGAGGCCTCCTGGATGGGGTCGGAGTAGATGGTGTCGGAGGATCGCGCCGCATCGGCGACCCATCGGCGATGCATCGGTGCCGTTGGCGATGCATCGGCGACGCCCGCGTGAAGGAAATCGGGCTCCGCATCGAGCCCCATCGTCGATGCATCGGCGATGTGGCGCGATCACCCCACCTGGGAGGCCTAGAGACTGAGAAGGCGACGGCGACGAGGAAGGAGCGAACAAGCGTTGGGTCGGGCCTGTCGCCCTACAGGGGTATTTTCGGGGCGAACCATGGAAAAATACCAAAAAACAAACAAAAAAAAAACAAAAAAAAAAAAACGTAGTCAAAACATCGTCCCCTGACTATGTGTTTACTATTTTGGAATACTCCTCCTGTAGAGGAAGAAGCGGACAAGCGTTAGGTCAGGCCTGTCCCCCTACAGGGGGATTCTTGGGGCGAAGAATCGAAAAATGACCCACAATGATCAAATCGTCCCCCGACTATGTTTTTACTGTTTGGGAATGCTCCTCCTGTAGAGGGACAGCAGGCCCGACCTAAAGCGAGCACGCGGAACGGCCCCTTTGGAAGGGGCGGGGGCCGACGGGGCGGCCTGCGCGGTAGCGGCCGCGGCCGCTCCCCTGGTCAGCCCTCAGGGCTCCTGGGTGACGCTGTACTGTGTGGGTGGTGTGCCGAATTGGGCTTCCGGGACGCGTGCGGACGGTCCCACTGAGGGCTTCGGTGGAGCTCCCTATGGGGCCACGAAACGCTCTACTGAGTGAAAATGCCAAATTGGGTTACCGGGACGCATGCGGACGGTCCCACTGGGGGCTTCGGTGGAGCCCCCTATGGGGCCACGAAACGCTGCACTGCGCGGGTGAAAATGCCAAAAAACATTTCCCAGACGCATACGGACGGTGGCACTGGGGCCTTGTGTGAAGCCCCCTATGGGGCCACGAAACGCTGCACTGCGTGGGTGAAAATGCCAAATTGGGTTTCCGGGACGCATGCGGACGGGGGCACTGGGACCTTCGGTGGGGCTCCCTCTGGGGCCACGAACTCTGTACTGGGTGGGTGAAACGCAGGGAGGTGGGGGAGGAGGGCCACGAAACGCTGTACTGGGTGTGCGGGACGCATGCGGACGGTAGCACTGGGACCTCCGGTGGGGCTCCCTATGGGGCCACGAAACGCTGTACTGGGTGTGCGGGACGCATGCGGACGGTAGCACTGGGACCTTCGGTGGGGCTCCCTATGGGGCCACGAAACGCTGTACTGGGTGTGCGGGACGCATGCGGACGGTAGGGAGGAGGGGGGGGGCACAAGAGGAGGAGAACGCGGGGACCGTCTCTTCAAAACGAGGACCCAACACCACAGGATGGTTGGGAAAAACACACGCCTCGGAGGTCCGCACGGAGATTTCTCGCATCGGCGCTGGGGCCCCCTGGCGGCGCCTCCGGCGCCGCCCCCGGCGCGCTCCCCGCGCGCCAGGGAGGGGGGTCCAGCGTGGGTCCGAGCAGTCCGCGCGGACCTCCGAGTTTTCATGTTTATGAGGGGGCCACATGCGAAACCTACCCCTACCCCCCACGAAGTGAACCCCACCCTCCCCCTCATAAACCGTGGAAGGTAGGGGCAGGGTTCGCATGTGGCCCCCTCTCCAAGCTTTCATGCTCATGTCATCCTTGGTTCCCCTGTCGATGGCCCTCGCCCCCCAAGGAGGCACACGCCCGAGCGATGCCAATAGGGACCGGAGGGCGCGCGCCGTGAAGACGGGAGCAGGGGCGGGCCGGGCTCGGTGGCAGCACGTGGGAGAGTCCCATGCCATCTTGCTGGCTCCTGCGAATCGGCGCTCGTCGGAGCCTGTTGATGCCGAGTCGACGCTGAGGCGGCGCTGATCGATGCTGATCGACGCTAGTCGACGCTGAATCGACGCTAATCGACGCTAAATCGACGCTTATCGACGCTAATCGATCGACGCTGTTGATGCTGATCGAGAATAATCGACGCTTGGTGATGCTGATCGACGCTAATCGACGCTGAATCGGCGCTATCTCATCGACTACCAGACGCTGGTCGATGCTGGTACACTCTAAAGACGGAGTTTTGAGGGTATACAAGGCTCCCATGACTTGCTACGGAAGCCAGCCCAACAAGCGGCCTCCTCACCATCTTTGTGCGAGGGGCGAGCTCAAGCGATAACAAAAACGTGCTGCAAGTAATTCCCTGCACAATTCGTTGTCGGAAACGCGCTGGCATCCGCTAGCAAAGGCCACTCGGCGCCAGAACGAAACGCATGTACGACAGTCATAGAGGCCCCCTAGATGGGGTCCTGGTAGATGGGGTCGGAGGATCGCGCCGCATCGCTGATGCATCGCCGATGCATCGGCAACGTCTACGCTGCATCGGCGCCATCGGCGTGGAGAAAATTGGGCTCCGCATCCGGCCACATCGCCGATGCATCGTGATGTGGTGCGGTCCTCTGTATAGAGCACGACAAAACACCCCGACATGCCGTTTAGTAAACGTAGCCAAAGGAGGAATCGAACGGGCGGGGCCGTTCGGTAAAAACCCAGGGCCGTTTAGCAGATGCCAATGATTGAGGTCGGGGTGTTTTTGTTTCCCTCCCTTGACTCCGACCCCATCTGCTCGCTCGGACCCCATCTGGAGGTAGGTCGGGCATGTCCCCCTACAGGCCGACTCTGGAAGAAATATGGAAAACATCCCGAACATACCCTAAAAATAATGAAACCAGATGGCCGAAGACTCGTCCCCAGACTACCTGTTGACTGGCTCTGAACCTCTCTCCTGCAGAGGGACGTGCCCGACCTAAAACTAGGTCGGCCACGTCCCCCTGCAGGCCGATTTTGGACTCTTGACTGGCTCTGAACCTCTCTCCTGCAGAGGGACGTGCCCGACCTAAAACTAGGTCGGCCACGTCCCCCTGCAGGCCGATTTTGGACGACACATAAAAAGTAGTCAACACAGACTCCACAGAGGCTAAAAAAATAGCAAACAGATCGTACCCATACTGTTTTGTAGAACTATGTTGCAAATGCCCCCTGCAGAGGGACGTGCCCGGAAAACCTGGAGCCACGATCAGCGCCAGAACGACGCGCACGGACCACGGCCAGCCAGCCCAGGAGGAGCGGCGTGAGGCGCGGGGCCCAAGGGCGCGCCGGGGCAGGCCCCGTGCGCCCGGCCCCCGCGCGCTCTGCCCCCGCGGGGCCTCCGCGGGGCCGCCCACTCGCCGGGCGCGCGGCCGCCAGTCGACGGCCGCCGAGCGTCGAGCCCAGACCCCCTCGAGTCATGAAAAAATCATGACAAGATGTTTTTGATGAGTTTTTCGCTATTTTCGGCTTCCAGGGGCACTTACTGGGCCTCGGGACCGTCAAAAAACAGCTCAGGATGAGAACCGGTCCTGGGGAAGGGGTCGAGACCTCTGGGGGTCGGCGTCATGATAAATTATCATGACGTCGGGGGGTCTGGGAGCGCAGAGCGCCGCCTCGGACGGGCTCACTTCCCGAACGCCTTTGTGGTGGCATCCCAGCACGCCCACCAGTCCTGCGGCTTCATCAGCGGGTGGTACGCGGCAAAGTTCTCCTGGTCGCAGGTGGGCTTCCACTTCTTGTTCTTCTTTTGATCGAGTGGGCGATCCGCCTCGCAGGTGCCGTCCAGCTTGGTGCCGAAGGCCTCCCCGCGGCGGACCCCGCTCTTGTCCAGGCAGGCCTGGGCGAAGAGGTCCTCGCCCATGGGGCCGTACTTGCCGCCCTCGATGCCCACCTTCCAGTCCAGGGTCTCCTTGCATGAGGCCATCGAACCCAGGAGCGTCTCGAAGGCCACCTTCGAGAAGATCTCCAGGCTGCCGAACCACCCGTACTTGACGAAGCGGCAGTTCTCGAGGTAGGTGCCAGTGTTCGGGACGAGCTTATCGGACAGCCAGGACACCAGGCGGCTCGGCACGAACACCGCATCGCAGTCGACCTTCACCACCCAGCTTGCGTCCTTGTACGCCCCTGCCGCCTTGATGGCCTTCCAGGCCTGGTAGTGCAGGCCCGTGTTCACCCAGGTGCCTGTCTCCTCCCTCTTCGCGAACTTGAAATCCCCGTCGACATCGTCGACTTTCACGAGCGGGGCGCCGGGTCCGACCTCGCCATCCCTGTCGCTGAACACACCCCAGGACTCGCACGCGAAGATTCCAATCCCTTTGCCATACGCCCCCTGGAGCAGCTCCAAGTCGTAATATTTCTTCGTGGTGCCAAGGTCTTGTTGCACTACCGAGAAGCAGTACAGCGATGGGTCATACCAAGAGCCGTCCTGCAAGATCGGATTCATGATCGCTGACGGCTGCGTGCAGAGCTGAGAGGCGCTGGGCGTACAATTCTTCAGGCACTCGCCCTTCCCTGCCTTGGTCTCGAAGCAGGTCAGGCCCGCCACGTCGCAGCACCCAGTGCTGTAGCAGTCCTCTGATCAGTGATAAAAGTACCCCCAACCCTTTGGGAGGGGACTTAAGTTAGGAGGGCCAAAAACACTAGGGATAGGGGGTCTGTTCTGCAGATGTATCAGACAAAACCGCCCAGATCTATTATCCCCCACGCGAAGACGGGGACCTAATTGAGGACACGTCTGCTTCGTGTCAATGGGGCTTGGGGCTCTTTTCTGCTCTCGGTGATCCTCGTCCCAGGAAGAGCACTGGTCGCGCGGGGGCTTCGCCAGCGTCTGCTGCTTGCCCTGGAAGCTGCCGGCGCCAGACGCCGCGCCTCGCAGCGCCAGGCGCGCCGCTCCGGCGGAGGCGCCTCCCACGAGCAGGACGCCCAGGGCCACGCCGCTGGCCGCCCTGCAGCGCGCGCGCGCGGACCGCCCCGGCGCCGAGGCCCCCGCGCCGTGGAGCAGCGTCTCCGACTCGCTCGCCTCGCCGCCAGCCTCTGCCGGCTCTGCGCGCTCCTGCACGGCCCTGGCGGAGATCACGGGCATCGCGCGCGCGGGCCGCGGCGTCGGCGGGCGCTCCACGGGCGGTCGAGAGGACAGAACGGCCTTGAGCCCAAATGCCTCGAGCCAAGCTTGAGCCCAAAGTTCTCGCCACGAGGGAATTTGGAGCGAGCAAGCGCGAGCGGCACATGAGATACACCACGCTGCCTCATGCGCAACATTCCCAACACAGTCGGCTACCTGCGGCAGGTGCACACTGCAGATTGGCCACAGCATGCCTGCTGGCCCCACGGGAAGCAGCACACCAGCAGCAGCAGCAGCAGCAGCATCAGGTGGAATGAGGAAGCAGATGGAAGGATGAAGAGAAGGCGTATTAGAGGTGCTCGTGTCCTCCCTCCTCCTCTTCTTCCTCCTCCGCCTCCTCGTCCTGCCTCCCATTGCCAGCCAGGAGAACAGGGAGGACGGGAAGCTGCCACCCGGCGCTCCTCCACCAGCTTCAGGACGGCCGCGGCGCTGGCGTCTCCCCTGGCCGCCACGGACGGCAGCGCCTGCGAGCACGAGGAGGGGAAGAGTACGAGAAACGAGGCATGGGGGAGGGGGTGGGGGGGAGGGAGGAGTAGAAGAGGAGGAAAAAGAGGGGGAGAGGGAAGCGCAGAGGAAAGAGGAAGATGGTAGAGACAGAGCGGGAGAGGAGGAGGCGAAGAATAACGAGGCGAAGGAGGAAGGGCCGAGATGGAATGGAAGGAGCGAGGGGACGACGACGACGACGACGACGACGACGACGAGGGAGACAACGACGACAAAGACAAAGACGAAGACAAAGACAAAGACAAAGACAAAGACAACGAAGACGAAGACGACGACGACGACGACGACGAGGAGGGAGAGAGTTGCAGGCTGGGAGGACGCAGAAGGGCAGGAGGAGAAAGAGGAGGAGGCAGAGAAGCGCACGGGCCGCCGCTGGGGAATCGGCGGCCGAGGGCTCCGTCGGAGAGCAGTTCGGCCATCCCCTTCCTCCTGCCTGGCCTGAGTTTGATCCTTCTCTTTCCTCGGCCGTGCTCCATATCTCATCCTCCTCGTCGCCAGCCTCCTCACACATCCTCGTTCCCCTCCCGCTTCCACCTCCTCAATCCTCTCCCATCCCAGCCTCCCCCCCCATCCTCCCGTCTGCTCGTTCCCCACGGAGAGCTTGCATTCGGGGATGGACAGAACCCCCTTCAGCAAAACGTGGCTTAGTGAAAACGACCTCGGGCCCAAATCTGGCGGGCACACGCCTGGAAAATGACGGCCGCGGCGCCCTCTCGAGAACCGAAAACGGACAATTCAGCCCACCCCCGATGCATTCGAGGGCTCTACCATTTGGGGGCCAAGCAAATCCACATCGGCTCGTGGGCGCCCCGTGCGCTGGCTCGGCTTTCGGCCCGTGCCTCCACGTGGACTTCTCTGACGGGCTCTGAGGGGGAAAAGGAGGTGGAGGACGAGGAGGAGGACGACAAGGAGGAGGAGGAGGAGGAGGAGGTGGAGGACGAGGAGGAGGAGGACGAGGAGGAGGAGGAGGACGACGACGACGACGACGAGGAGGAGGAGGTGGAGGAGGAGGTGGAGGAGGAGGAAGAGGACCCCCTACCCCTCCAACTTATGGTGGTGGTGGTCGAGGAGGACGAGGAGGAGGACGAGGAGGAGGAGGAGGACGAGGAGGACGAGGAGGTGGAGGAGGAGGAGGAGGAAGACCCCCTACCCCTCCAACTTATGGTGGTGGTGGTGGTGGAACACACGCCCAGCACTCTCGGGCGCTGGCTTGGGCTCTGCGAGCCCTCACCCCGCGCCGGCGCCTCGGGGGCGCCCCGTGGGCGCGCCGCGAGGCGCCGGCGCTGGCGCCTCGCCGCGCGAGCAGAGAGAGCGCACCACCCGGTCGCACCGCAGGTGTTCGAAGGGGCCCCACACGAATGAATACAGGGCAGCTTTTAATACATAGGATTTTGAAACATATGATGTTTAATACATGATTATATGTATGAATACATTTATGCATGAACGCAGCGTTGGTTTTAATACTAAATCCCTGCACTTTAGTTACATGATCCGCACGCGGAGCATGTATTAAAAATGGCACTGTAGACATAAATCACCGGGTTCACCCCCCCTATTTCGCCGTGCTTCCCCCCCCACTTCCCATCGTTTCCCTCATTTTCTGGGCGATCAACGGTTACTACTTGTGTCTGTGTTTTTGTTCCCCTTCCTGAGGTATGCCTTGCTTTGAAGCAGCTGCCACGCGTCGAAGTCGGAGCTAAGACTGTCAGACTGGCCGGATCAGACTGCCATATCATCTGCACGGTCGCTCCTCCAAAAACACCGCGCGCGGGAGGCCCGGCCCGTGCCGAGACCCCCGCGCCATCCCTGTCTAAGAACTCCGTGCGGAGCGCACGCGCTGCTCTCCGAGTTGAGCGTCAAAACAATCCATACCAAATAATACCATCGGACCACACGCTCGCACAGATCGAAGTTCCTCAGAGAAGTTGTGTTCCAATGGGCAAGCAGTCGTATTCCCATAAAGCATGTTCGAAGTATGTCCATTCGCTGCGATCAAAGGCTATTTCGGCTGTAGGACCCCACATGATAATACTCCAAACAAATATTGAAGTAATCCTCATCGTCGTCCTGCTGACTACGGAGGCTCTGTTCCACTCTTGTACCTGCTGGCCCCTGGACGCTCACAGAAGCCTGATTTCGGATGGCCGCCTCGGATTGCAAGAGACGTTCGACAACCAAGCGAGGCCAGACTGCCTCAGAGCTCAAACTCCCAAATGTCACCAGACCTGCACTCTGACACGGAATCCCGATGGCCGCCTCGGATGAAAGAGCATGAAGCGGGGGGGGAGGCCGTGGGGAGGGGCTCCCGCTGGAGACTTCCTCGAGACTCACTTAACAGGCGAGCGCCCCAAACATCCTCTCGATGTGCGTGCGCAGGAACCAGGCTCCCGCCCGAGACGTCCTCGGGCTCCGTGGGGACCCCACAAGGAATGAGTGGGCTCCCGCTCGAGACTTCCTCGGAATGCAGGCTTCGAGGCGTCACCATCGGCGGCGACGATAGTGGCGACCAGTCCAGGGGCGGGCATTACACGCATCCGCCCGGGAGCCTGTTCGAAGACATAGACCATCGGCGTACCCGAGTACATGTGTTGCTCTCCCCTGGGCCATTCGCCCCCTATCGTCGCCTCTGACACCAAGACAGTGCCTTTCACAAGGTATTCCAGTGGCCGCCTCGGATGACCAACGTGAGGTGGGCACCCCAGAGGGTGGGGCTCTGGCGATGTGGGCACCCCAGAGGGTGGGGCTCTGGCTCGAGACTCCCTCGCGATTCACCCACAGGACGCGTGAATCGCCCGAGAAGCCCGCTCAGCTTGCTCGGGAACGAGGCTCCACACAAACCCGCCATCAGGAAGCTTGTCTTATGATAATGGGGTGTGGGGGATCAGGGCTCCAGGGGGGGGCTTGGGTTTTGGTTGGTATTTATGTCGGGAGGCACCGCCTCAGCACACCTAAAAGCAATGTGTGACTGCCCCCCTAAACACACACACACACACACACACACAGACACACACACACACTCTCACACACACACACACCAACAAGTACGTCCAACAAACCCAAGAAAACTCCTCGTGGGTGTGGGGGAAGTTTGGGGGGTTGTCCTTGCCAGGCGTCCACAATCACCAGCTTCGGAAAAAAGCTTCGGGAACAAATAGTATCGAAACAACCAAAAAATACCCCCCTTGAAGGGAAGGTGGAAGTTTCCCCCCCTGAACCCTGAAGAACCCTCCCTCAAGCAGGTTTAGGTGTTAAAAAGGATTCCCCTCCCGGACCTCCAAAAAACCTCCCTCAGGGAAGGTTCTCCCCCCAAGGACACGCCAAAAAGGCTTCTCGGGTGGTTTTGTAGGTAGGGGGTATCCCCCCCAATCAAAAAAGAACTCAGAGCGGTGCTTGGGAGGTTTAAGGGCGTCTCCCCCCCCCCCCAGACCCTCACAGAAAAACATCTCCCAGGGGGGGGAGAGTTTAGCGAAAAAATCCCCACCAGACCCTCTAAAAACCTCCCTCAAGGAACTTGTTGGGAGGGGGCTCAGCGGGGGTCCTCGTTGAGACCCCACCCCAACTAAACAAATCCCCAGTATGGTGTTTAAAAGCTTTAGGGGGGGGTCCTCCCCGAACTGTCCGAAAACCTTTTTTGTCAAGTATGATTTGACTGTGTTCATGGGATTATCCCCCCACCCCAACCCCTAAGAAAACCTTCCTGAGAGGGTCTTTGGATGGGTCTGGAAGGGAAAGCCCCCGTGCCCCCCCCCCATTAACCTTCCTGGAAAAGGTCTTTGGGGGAGCCTGGAGGGGGGGGGCAAACCCCCTAATCCCCGCAACGACCCTCCCGAGGGTGGTTTTCGAAGGCGTCCCAGGGGGAAAACCATCCAAAACCCACCCGAGGAAGCCCCAACCCTTGACGCCTCTGGGAGACTCCGAACGTCTCGGGGACGCTTGGGGAGAGGCCTCTTCGCGCGGCGGGTGGCGCGTAGCAAGGGTAGGTCGGGCGTGTCCCCCTACAGGCGGATTTTGGACAAACCAAAAAATACCCCAAAACTATTCAAAAACATATAATTTGTGGAAACAAACGTCCTCGTAATTGTTACTAGTTTGGAATATTCCCCCTGCAGAGGGACAGGCCCGACTTGAAGCAAGGGGGAGCGTCTGGCACCAAGGACGCGCGTTTCCGTCAGCTCGGGGAGGGGCCTCGTCGAGCCGCGGGCGGGGCACGGCAGAGGGACACGCTTCGCACCGGGAACGTTGCTGCTACGGCTTGGGGGGGGGCCTCGTCTGGCAGCGGCTGGCGCGCAGCCGCCGGGCGCGTCCAGCACAAAGGACGTTTGAATATTCCGCTTGGGGAGGGGCCTCGTCTGGCAGCGGCTGGCGCGCGGCAGAGGGGCACGTCTAGCACCAGGGATGGTTTTTTGGTCACCTTGGGGAGGGGCCTCGTCTAGCAGCGGGTGGCGCGCAGCAGAGGGGCGCGTCTGGTACCAGGAAAGCGTTTTCAATCAGCTTGGGGAGGGCCTCGTGCAGAAGCAGGCGGGACACAGCAAGGGGGGGGCAGGCCTAATTCCAAGGATGCTTTTTTTACAGCTTGGGGAGGGGCCTCGTCTAGCAGCGGCTGGCGCACGGCTGAAGGGGCACGTCTAGTACCAAGGATGAGCACAGGTGCACGTCTAGTACCAGACATGTTGTTTTAAATCAGCTTGGGGAGGGGCCCCGTCTAATAGAGGGACCAATAGAGAGTTCCACCGAAGTCACCAGTGAGGGTTGTCGCATATGCGGCCGCCCCACCAATATCGGCATTCCTCTCAAACGCTTCGCGGCCCCATAAGGAGGGAGCTCCACCGAGGGCCCTGGTGAGGGCGTTCGTATGTGCGGCCGCCCCGCCCACTTCGGCACACCCCTCACGAGCTTCGTGGCCCCATAGGGAGGGAGCTCCACCGAAGGCCCCGGTGAAGATGTTCGCACGCGACCGCCCAATCCATGTCGGCACACCCTCACACGCTTCATGGCCCCATATTGAGGTCCACCGAAGACCACGGTGGCAGTGTTCGCACGCGACCAGCCCATCCACTTCGGCACACCCTTCGCGCGGTTCCTGGCCCCATAGAGAGATCCACTAGAAGAGCACAGGGAGGGTGTTCGCATGAAGCCGCCCTATCAGTTTTGGCAGACCCCTCTCACGCTTCGTAGCCGCATAGGGAACACCACCGAAAGCCCCAGAGGCGGTGTTCGCACGCGGACGTCCCACCCATTTCGGCATTCCCGTCACACGCTTCGTGGCCTCATGGGGATCTCCACCGAAGGCCAAGGGCGGTGTTCGCACGCGGCCGCCCCACCCATATCGGCACACCCCGGGTGTGTTTCGTGGCCCCTCGTGGAGCCCCACCTAAGGCCCCAGTGGCGGTATTCGCATGCGGCTGCTCCGCCCATTTCGGCACACCCCTCGCACACTTCGTGACCCCCTAACAAATTCCCCACACCCATTTCGGCTCACCCCTCCCTCGTTTCGCGGCCCCATAAGGGGGCTCCACCCAAGGACCCAGTGGCAATGTTCGCATGTGCCTCCCCATCAATTTCGGCGCACCCCTCACGCGCTTCGTGGACCCATAGGGGGCTCCACCTAAGGACCCAGTGGCGACGTTCGCATGTGGGCGTCACGCTCGTCTCGGCACTCCCCTCACACGCTTCGTGGCCCCATAGGGAGCTCAACCTAAGGCCCCACTGGCGACGTTCGCATGGCAGCCCCGCTCCATGTCGGCACACACCACACACTTGTTATCATCCAGAGGGAGTCCAGCGGCGTCGGCACACCCCTCACACGTCTTGTGGCCCCATAAGGGTTCCACCTCATCCCAGTGGCAGCGCGCCACAATTCGGTACACTCTTCACACGCTTAGTGGCCCCATGAGGAGATCCACTGAAGGCGATACCCACAACTAAAGTACTCACAACTGCATAAATGTTTGGGTCCGTCGCCAAGACAAGTTACATGACTTTCCCATGGCCACCTCAGATTATCAACATGATCTGCGAGCCCCAACCCCTGCCCGAGACTGACTCACAAATCGATCAGAGACAAGGCTCCCGCTGGACACGCCCGCGCGATCCAAGCCTCCGGGTGTCACCAGACACGTGTTTCTGCATGGTTTGCCGATGGCAGCCTGGGATCACCAACACGACCTGCGGGCGCCCAGGAGGGGAAGTGGAAGTGGAAGTGGAAGCGGCTGCGTCCCCGAAGGGGCCCGCGAGGGGCGCAGCGCAGCTCGTGCCGCTCATCGCTCCATGAACCACGCGACGAAATTCTCGACTCCGGATGACCACCAGTCCCGGTCCAGCGCCTGATCAGTCCAAACATCGATGCTGTTCTCTGCAGCGAAACGCCGGACAACACCTTCCCATCTCATCCACCGCCCAGGAGGGGGCGCCCGCCTCCAAGGTGTCATCGGACACGTGTTTTCGCATGGTTTGCCGATAGCAGCCTGGGATCACCAACACGATCTGCGGGCGCCTGGGAGGGGGCTCCCGCCTGAGACTCCCTCGCAGTGCACTGACAAACGAAGCTCCCGTGCTCGAGACTTCCTCGGGACTCGGGCTCCCAAGGTGTCCCCAAACCTGTCTTACTGTGCACAGGGCAGTTTATAATACATAGGATGTTTAAAAACAGATGATGTTTAATACATGATGAATGTATGAATAAATGTATGCATGAACGCATCATTGTTTTTAATGCTAAATCCCTGCATGTTTAATACATGTTCCGCACGCGGAGCATGTATTAAAAACGGCGCTGTACTGTGTATTCCAGTGGCCGTGTCGGATTACCAACCTGACCTGCGGGTCCCTTAGGGAAGGGGCCCCCACTCGAGACGTTCCCCAAACGCACTCACAGGCGAGGCTCCCGCTCGAGCCTTCCTCTGGATTCAGGCTCCGATGTGTCACCAAACACGTTTACAGAACGTTTCCGATGGCCGCCTTTGATTACCAACCTGATCTGCAGGCCCTATAAGAAGGAGGCTCCCGCTCGCAATGCACTCACAGACGAGGCTCCCGTTCGAGACTTCCTCTGGATTCAGGCTCCAAGGTGTCACCAAACCTGTGTGTTTACATTGAGTTCAGATGGCCGCTTCGGAATACCAACAAGTTCTTCGGGCACCATAGAAAAGGGGCTCACGCACGAGACTTCCTCGGAATTCACTCACAGGCGAAGCTCCCACTCAAGACCTCCTCCGTATTAGTGCATGAGAGTGTTAGTGTTTGGGCGAATGTAGGTGCCATGATAATGATGATGATGATGATGATGATGATGATAATGATAGTGATGATGATGATGATGATGACGATGATGATGGTGATGGTGACGACGACGAAGATAATGATGATGCTGATGATGATGATGACGATGAGGATAATGACGATGATGATCCATTTGGTCGTGGCCACGACCAAGATCATGATGCTGATGCTGACGACGGCAACGACGACGACGACGACGGCGATACACATGATGGATCATGCTGATGATGATGCTGGTGGTGGTGATGATGGCAATGATGATGATGATGATGATGACGATGGTGATGATGATGATGCTGATGAGGGTGATGATGATGATGAAAATGATGATGATGCTGTTGATGATGATGATGATGATGATGATGATGATGACGATGGTGATGATGGTGCTGATGATAATGTTTGTGATGATGATGATGATGCTGATGATGATGATGATGGTGATGATGAAGATGATGATGAAAAAGGAAAAAGATGAGGAGGAGGAGGAGGAAAAAGAGGAGGACGGGGTCAGGATGGTGTTTCTGCTTGTGGGCGTCCAGAGAAAACAAGAACCGAATTATGCAATGGTGAATACCGCAAAGTGGTCACTGCTTCCGGTGGAGTCCCTTGTAGGGCTACAAAACGCGCGAAGGATGTGCCGTAATGGGTGCGGAAGACGCATGGGGCCGAGGCCACCGAGGTCTTCGGTGGAGCTCCAAAGAGGGCCACGCAACGCGGTAGTGGGCGGGGGAGACGCTTGCGGCCGCGACCACTGGAGCGTTCGGTGGAGCTCCCTATGGGTCCACGAAACACTGCACTGGGTTGCGGCCGCGGCAACTGGGGCCTGCAGTGGAGCTCAAATGGGGCCGTCGGTGGAGCTCGCTGTGATGCCACGAAACGCTGTACCGGGTGGTACGTCGCCTCCAGGGTCTTCGGTGGCAACCCCATATGGGGCCACGAAACGCTATACTGGGATGGGGAGGCGCATGCAAACGTCGCCTCGGGGGTCTCCGATGGAGCTTTCTATATGAGGTCACGAAACGCTATACTGGGTTGGAGAGCCGCACGCAATCGTCGCCTCTGGGGCCTTCGGTGGAGTTCCCTATGGGGCCTCGAAGCGCTGTACCAGGCGAGGGAGACGCATGCGAACGTCGCTGCTGGGGCTTTCGGTGGAACCCTCTATGGGGCCACGAAGCGCTGTACTGGGCGCGAAACGCATGAGGGGCGTGCTGGACTGGTTGATATGCGAAGGGCAGAGGCACAGATGGGAGGAGCGACGTGGGAGGAGGGGAAGAGGGAAGAAGAAGGAGACGCGGGGCGCTGTCTCTTCAAAACGGTGGAGAGCAACAACGCTTTCTACTTCAATTGTCAAATGAGACAGTGCGGGCAACACGCAAGCGTGCATGTCGAAAACTTCGAACGAACATCACGCACATGTCAACTCGATCAACTGATACCACCGCGCGCGTTTCTGCGCGCCCATGCCGAAACCGTTCGCAAAGCGGCAATTCCGTAAGCACTTCAACAGCATATGTTTGGGACACAGGGTACGAAAACACAACTAATGTTCAAATTCAGGTCAGGGAGTCTGCGCGTTCTTCACCAGCATTATCACTAGCAAAATCGCTTCCGCCATGGTGTGCGTCATCATTGCCCTGCTTCTGCTCCGCCTCCTCCTCATCATCATCATCATCAGCATCACCGTCAGCACCATCACCATCATCATCATCCTCATCATCATCATCATCATCATCATCATCATCATCATCATCATCATCACCGCCATC